AAGCTCTTTCAAGGCGGGGTTATAACAGTATCAATCATTTAAGCAATAAAATATCATTTTATTTTTCAATAGTTATGTTAAATATCACATTGAAGGTTTAGTACTTTAGAAACATCGAACCCGCCATCGCCGATACAGTGTCAGTAGTACTAGTACCGAGTAGAAATTCATCATTCCGGCGTCTTAAATACGAATTTGCTTGGCTGAATTCAGGAGTCGTGCAACATGGGCAGCGGGTCTAGACTTGGATGACATTTTTCAAACTTTTTAGTTAATATTAATACGAAATGACGAAATTTTCATTCATAAAACTATTGAACAAAAGATGAATTTAACAGATTGGCAAGTCAACAAATCTGTGTTTACATCCTCGTTGCTCATGCCCATGTTACACATCGAGCGCGTGCAAGAGCCTTAAGCCAATAAAATCGTGTATTATCATCGGGAGGTCGGCCATTCGTGGCAGCGAGAAGGCCTACAGTTTATCTTGTTAAACTGACTCTGATTTGTTACTGACAAAGAATTTGCCTTTGTTTACTCCAAATATGGAAAGTTTTAAAGTTCACGACCTTTCAGATGACGTATGGAGATTATCATCAAGCACCGCATGCGTTTTCAAAACATTGGATTACTTTCGCTGATTTTTTCACAGAATTAATGTCATTTCTTAGGCATTTTTAATCAGGTAGGCTCATAAAATACCCCCAAAACACCATTTCCAGTTTTCAGATCGTCAAAATGCTTCTCAAATAACAAAGTTCTTTTGTATTTCTTGATGTTCCAACCTCAATCTCAAAATCGACAATTTGACCAAAATCCATTGTTAACAATGCTTTTGTGCCCGTAGCGAATGATATTGTGGGAGCGACTCACATATAGGTTTATTTCCAAAAGATCTCTGCTGCTTTCGATATTGGCATCTATCGGATCGAAACTTCATGGATTATGGCCCCTGTTTGTACGAAAAATCACGTTTTTAGCTTGTGGACACTATAGAGGTCACAATTTTTATCCGATTTTGTTGAAACATGAAATGTAAGTTTATAACCCAAAGATCTCAGTTCCTTTTGATATTCGCGCATATCGGACCGTAACTTCCTGAATTATGGCCCCTGAATGTACGAAAAATCGCGTTTTTAGCTTGTGGACCCTATAGAGGTCATAATTTTTATCCGATTTAAAAAAACGTATTATTATATCACCGTTACACCCTAAGGACAGCTGAGTTTGTACGAAAAATCGCGTTTTTAGCTTGTGGACCCTATAGAGGTCATAATTTTTATCCGATTTAAAAAAACGTATTATTATATCACCATTACACCCTAAGGACGGCTGAGTTTGTACAAAAAATCGCGTTTTTAGCTTGTGGACCCTATAGAGGTCATAATTTTAATCCGATTTAAAAAAAACATATTATTATATCACCGCTACACCCTAAGGACAGCTGAGGTCGAATTTCGTGTCAATCGGCCCAAAATTGACAGACAAAATGGCCGCTGTTCATTCTCAAATAGTGTAAAAATATGGTATATGGGTCATTCCACAAATGAGGGGTCCGATTGAAAATTCATACATATCATTGCTCAAAGCAGCAGAAACACCTATTTACTGATCACCAATTGTTTATAAAAGTAATTGATCATGTAATATGTTTATTATTTTATACTTGTGTTCTATTGAAACATAGAAAATTGGTTTGAGGTTAAATTTTTCTATGTTGCAATTCGTGGTGTCCCTGAATTTTTGTGTTACGTTTTGGGGACATTTTGTTCTCAACATTTTAACAACTGGACCATGTTGAGCACAAGACTAATATTTCCAAATATTTTTGCGAAACATGCAGCAGAGAATCTAAGATTCTGTTTGCTAATTTTTCATTTCTTAACAAATGGTTAGTAATCTCAGTGGGAGGATTTTTATTCACGTCTCACAACGTAAATTTTTGTGTCCCCAATATTTACGTTGTATTATTGTTAAGTTAGCCACGATCTTAACTTGAAAAATCAAACCAAAATGTTTCATCTTAATTCCATTTGGATGACGTAATAAATAACAAATTCCGAAAACATAAGCAGTTGTATTTTGTAAAATTGTCTGTGAAAATTTTATTAGCTTTGTCAATATTGAAAATCGAGTCCCTCGTTCAATTTACGAAGTGCTTGTTTATGCCGCTGGTAACGCCCTCTATTAGCTGCGAATTACGTCAGAGAGAGATGTTTATTTAGATGTTTGGTCACATGATAGACATACCCAAAGATTCCGATGGCCCGGCGAATGGATATTTTCTGAATGAGTTCGAATCAAAGTTTAGCGTCCCTGTATTTACGTTGTTATCGAAATTACATTGTGATGTGAATTTACCCCCTGCATATGACGCATAGATGCCAAACGTTATAATTGCCAAGTCCAAAATAACAGTATTCTTCCATAGATGAAAATTTTTGCTTCCTTGATATTCAGGGATAACGTGACAGAATGGTCGCGGTGTCAGAATATTATTATGAAAATGGGAAACCAAAACTTTCGTGTCCCTATTATTAACTAGATATTGTATTAGTATACGCGTATGTAACCAATGCTACATTATTTACTTTGCTTTCCGGTAAACAAGCTAACAATCTTGAAATGTTATCTTGCTCTTTTCAAGTCTTTTGTTTCATTGTTTTTGCTAAAAGGATTCACAACGTAAGCTATTTAAAGGGACACAACCAATTCTCAAAGACTGCTACTTATTTGGATTGTTGAAATTTTAATATTTTTTTTATATTTGAAAGTATAAGCTTATTTATTTTTCAAGTTTTAAAGGAGAAATACTACATACTATGGTTTTATTTAATTATTAGTAGGCAAGTCATCAACATTTGGTGTCCCTTTACACGTGAAACTGCAGTACTCCGAATCACAGTAAACCTTTCCATGTTGATTTTTCATGACAACTGATTTACATGTAGTTCATATCGATTGTTAACGTCATACAAACTTCATCAATTTTGCAAAATCTTTATTTTCTTAAAAATCTCCAGAAACTGTTCAGTTTGTATCAGGAATTTGGGAATATCCATGTAATCGACATTGGCTGGCTAGAGGTGTTGGCACAAATATACACTATTTCTGCTTAGACTTCTAATAAAGGTGCCTCGTTTCAATAAAAATAATACATCATAAACACATTAGTATATCTTATATGCACAGAAATTTAGCATTAACAGTCTAATTTGATGTCCCTTTACACGAGAAATCTGTACATAACCTGTCATGTAAAATCGTTCATTTTTTTTTCTTTGGAACTTGACAATGAGAAATCACCAACTGTCCCTCAAATGGCACGCATTACTCATATTATTTGTATAATTTTATAAGTGATTGAGAAAACTTAAAATTTTAGTACCTATGTCACACTTTGGACCCCTCATTTGTGGAATGACCCATATCAAGGTTGTGGACGCTATAGGGGTCACAATTTTTATCCAATTTTGTTGAAACTTGAAATGTAAGTTATTGACCCAAAGATCTCGGTTCCTTTCGATATTCGCGCATATCGGACCGTAACTTCCTGAATTACGGCCCCTGATTGTACGAACCCTATAGAAGTCATAATTTTTATCCGATTTAAAAACCTGTATTATTATATCACCGTTACACCCTAAGAACGACCGAGTTAGAATTTCGTTAGAATCGGCCCGAAATTGACAGACAAAATGGCCGCCGTTCGTTCTCAAATAGCGTAAGAATATGGTATATCAAGGTTGTGGACCCTATAGAGGTCACAATTTTTATCTGATTTTGTTGAAACTTGAAATGTAAGTTTGTAACCAAAAGGTTTCGGTTCCTTTCAATATTCGCGCATATCGGACCATAACTTCCTGATATATGGCCCCTGATTGTACGAAAAATTGCATTTTTAGCTTGTGAACCCTATAGAGGTCATAATTTTTATCCGATTTAAAAAAAACGTATTATTATATCACCGTTACACCCTAAGGACAGCTGAGGTCGAAATTCGTGACAATCGGCTCAAAATTGCCAGACAAAATGGCCGCCAATTGTTCTCAAATAGCTTAAAAATATGGTATATCAAGGTTGTGGACCCTATAGAGGGTTGAAACTTGAAATGTAAGTTTATAACCCAAAGATCTTGGACAGTAATTTCCTGAATTATGGCCCCTGATTGTACGAAAAATCACGTTTTTAGCTTGTGGACCCTATAGAGGTCATAATTTTTATCCGATTTAAAAAAACATATTATTATATCACCGTTACACCTTAAGGACGGCGGAGTTTGAATTTCGTGAAAATCAGCCCAAAATTGACAGACAAAATGGCTGCCACTCGTTCTCAAATAGCGTAAAAATATGGTATATCAAGGTTGTGGACCCTATAGAGGTCACAATTTTTATCCGATTTTGTTGAAACTTGAAATGTAAGTTTATAACCCAAAGATCTTTGTTCCTTTCGATATTCGCGCATATCGGACCCTAACTTCCTGAATTATGGCCCCTGATTGTACGAAAAATCACGTTTTTAGCTTGTGGACCCTATAGAAGTCACAATTTTTATCCGATTTAAAAAAAACATATTATTATATCACCGTTACACCCTAAGGACGACTGAATTCGAATTTCATGAAAATCAACCCAAAACTGACAGACAAAATGGCCGCCGTTCGTTCTCTAATAGTGTAAAAATATGGTATATCAAGGTTGTTGATCCTATAGAGGTCACAATTTTTATCCGATTTTGTTGAAACTTGAAATGTAAGTTTATAACACAAAGATCTCAGTTCCTTTCGATATTCGCACATATTGAATTGTAATTTCCTGAATTATGGCCCTTGATAGTAGGAAAAATCACTTTCTTGTGAGCTTGTTCTCTATCCATTTCTCGAAAATGTGGGCGTATCCTGTCTGGCAGCCGCTGGTTTCAAGTTTAAAATGAATGGTAAAAATTATAAATGTAAAAATCAATATCATCTGTTATTTCTTACTTTCTTTTATTATTAGAACTGAGGCAGCTAATGTAGAGAAATTAGCTACAAGATTTTTACGTGGAGGTATTAAACCAGCACAGATAGGTATAATAACACCATATGAAGGGCAGAGAGCCTATCTTGTCCAGTATATGCAGTATAATGGATCCTTGAATAAAAAACTGTATCAGGTGAATCTTTCTTGCAAGTAATAAAACTTTAATTTGCTCACATATTATATTATGTCTTAGTTGATGAAGATTTTGAGTGTTAGAAAGTTAAACATACAGTAGTAATACTATGATGTTCTCTGTTATTAGGAAATTGAAGTGGCTAGTGTGGATGCTTTTCAAGGAAGAGAAAAAGATTTCATATTGTTGTCATGTGTTAGATCTAATGAACATCAAGGCATTGGATTTTTAAATGATCCAAGACGTTTAAATGTAGCTTTGACAAGAGCCAAGTAAGTTATTAATTTGAGGAAGGTAACCCTGAGTTTATTAACCATATGAAAGCTTTATATGTGCTACTAGCTTTGTGGAAAATAAATCTGTAGAGTTTATCGCCATTTTTATACGCCCACATTGAAATGTGGACGTATATTGCCGTCGCCCCCGTCCGTCCGTCTGTCGGTCCGTCCGTCCATCGTCCACAATTTCTTGTGAACGCTCTAACGCCAAAAGTTATCATCAAATTGTTTTAAATTTGATATATGTTGTTTACATTAGTGAGATGAAGAAGCCTATTTAATTTCAATAATTTCTGTTTATTACGTCTAGAGTTATGGCCCTTGTTTCACTTTGTTGAACCTTGTGAAGGCTCTAATGCCAAAAGTTAACATACGATCTTTGTGAAATTTATATGCAATATTTAAGTTAGTGAAACGAAGAAGCCTATTGAATTTCAACAATTTCTGTTTATTATGGCCCTTGTTTCACTTTATTGAACCTTGTGAAACGCTCTAACTCCAAAAGTTATCATCCGATCTTTCTGACATTTACATGCATTATTTAAATTAGTAAAACGAAGAAGCCTATTGAATTTCAGCAATTTCCGGTTATTACGTCTAGAGTTATGGCCCTTGTTTCACTTTTCTGAAATTTATATGCATTATTAAGATTACTGAAACGAAGAAGTCTATTGAATTTCGGCAATTTCTGTTTATTACGTCTAGAGTTATGGCCCTTGTTTCACTTTATTGATCCTTGTGAACGCTCAAACGCAAAAAGTTGTCACCCGATCTTTGTGAAATTTATATGCATGATTTAGATTAGTGAAACAAAGAAGCCTATTGAATTTCAGCAACTTACAATAATTACTTCTAGAGTTATTGCCCTTGTTTCACTTTGTTAAACCTTGTTAATGCTCGATTGATGATAGTTATCATCTGATATGTATGAAATTTATATGCATCATTTAAATTTGTGAAACAGGTCTATTGAATTTCAGCAATTTCCGTCAATAATTTCTAGAGGTATGGCGATTGTGAACGTTTGAATGACAAAAGTGGTCATGTGATCTGTATGAAATTTATATGCATTATTTAAATTAGTAAAACGAAAAAGCCTGTCAATTTCAACAATTTCTGTAGATTACTTCCAGAGTTGAGACCCTTGTTTCAGTTTGTAGAACCTTGTAAACGACAAAATTTATAATCTGATCTGTATGGAACTGTCTTGTAAAGGCCCCCAATTACCTACAAAGGAATAAATATGCGACAACCCTTGACGACCGCTCGGACGATTTAGCTGCTGTGTGCGTATGTTTTGTTGCCTGGCAACCTATCTTTGTAAACAACACACATTAAAGATACATTATGGGAGATTTAATGATTTTTGAGAGTTGGCCATTCTTGCTATAACAGTTCAAAAGTAGATGATGAAAGAAGAATATATTGAAAATTTCAGTCAAATTACTTTATTCTGAACATAGTTATCATCGTTGAAATATTTGACTAGAAATGGTAGTGAAATGTGCCTTCACCTTGGCCGAACGTTTGATTGACAGGCGTTAACTCCACCTACATATCTCGATTATCAAGTAAAGTTTTCAATGGCATGCGGAAACGCTCTACAGCGGCCTCGCTAAGTACACTCTATCATTTAGCCTCGATCTAACTGACGTATTCTCATCAGGGTGCGCCATATTTGAATTTATCAATAAGTGAAATCCTATTTAAATCCGAGCTGTAGCCGAGCCATCCGTGGGTCTACAGAGTTGATTTTGGGCTTGTTGTTTAAATAAAGATCTAATTTATAATTTCTATAACATCTGAAACCTAAATTAAGACTTGCAATAATCAGATTTTGCTCTTGCATAATGTATGTTTAAGCATTAATTGTAAAGTTTTATCACCAAATACAAATTACATTGCACCATTAAATTTCCTATAGTGAACCAACATGCAAACAAGCTTTCTCTTTTATACATAGATTTATTTAAAAATTAATAATAGAAATGATTTTCTGAAAGCTTTATTTAAAATTGACTTTTTGAAACATTTGTTTTATTGTAGGTATGGTATAATTATTGTTGGAAATCCGAAAGTTTTGTCTAAGGTGAGAATATAGGGTTTTGAAAGTGTTTTTGAGGCCATTGCCCTCCAAGAGAATTACTTCATTATGATGCTTGGATATAGTTGTTGAGAATAATTGTATAGAAACCACACAATAACTACTACGTCACAATTTTGTTGTCCCCTGCCTATTACTAGGTTTGAAAAGGTGATTTTGAGATTATGATTATACATATGATTTTATTAGCTTTTCATGTAGATCTCATCATTCTTCCCACAAAACTTTTTACAGATTCAAAATCGGATGAAATTTTTTTTTATTATTGAGGCTCAAAGTTGCGATTTTTGACTTTTCGCGGAAGAAAGGTTTTTCAACACTTTGAAAAAGTCATTTTTGGTGTTTTTTGTGATGCCATTTTTCATTTCATATCAAAACTATCAAAAATGTAGATGTATATTCATGAAATACAACTTTAAGGCTAATTATGTTTTAAATTTCACATTTGTGTAACAATTACTCTGGTTTCCACAGCAACTCCAAAATACCTAGCTTTTCTTTAAAAAAATTTCCATTTTGTCAACGTGATTTTGGCCAATTTTTTCATCAAAAATGGTCTTGTCCACGTTATATCCGAAATATTGAACCTGGTTGTTATGCATTTTAAAATCAGTATCTATCGAGTAAGGTTAACAGAATAAAAAAAATAGTAAAAATATCTATATGCCTTCTCTCAAGGGCTGGATATATGTTCATTTTTGAACAATTGTCCGTGGCACACAATTGCCTATTTTTTGGGCATTTTGGGGACATCAATAAAATAAGAAGGAATGGAGATACAAAAGTGAAATTCTGGGAATATGTCAAAAAGTTTGTGAATTTTTAAAATTACATATTTCCAATCTGCCATATATTATCAATTTTGGTTGTCATAGCAACCAAAATGGAAAAAATGCAATTTTTATACGCCCACATTTTCATGTGGACGTATGATACTGTCGCCCCTGTCCATTCGTTTGTTGACACTCTAGAGGTCACAATTCTTATCCGATTTTGACGAAACTTGAAATATAAGTTTATCTCCAAAAGATCTCGGCTGCTTTCGATATTGGCATGTATCCGATCGGAACTTCATGGATTATGGCCCCTGTTAGTACGAAAAATCACGTTTTTAGCTTGTGGAGCCTATAGAGGTCACAATTTTTATACGCCCACATTTTCATGTGGACGTATTATGCCGTCGCCCCTGTCCGTCCACATTTTGTTTGTGGACACTCTAGAGGTCACAATTCTTATCCAATTTTGACGAAACTTGAAATATAGGTTTAACTGCTTTCGATATTGGCATGTATCAGATCAAAACTTCATGGATTATGGCCCCTGTTTGTACGAAAAATCACATTTTTAGCTTGTGGACCCTATGGAGGTCACAATTTTTATCCGATTTTGTTGAAACTTGAAATGTAAGTTTATAACCCAAAGATCTTGGTTCCTTTCGATATTCGCACATATCTGACCGTAACTTCCTTAATTATGGCTCCTGATTGTACGAAAAATCGCGTTTTTAGCTTGTGGACCCTATAGAAGTCATAATTTTTATCCAATTTAAAAAAACGTGTTATTATATCACCGTTACACCCTAAGGACGACTGAGTTTGAATTTCGTGAAAATCGGCCCAAATTGACAGACAAAATGGCCGCTGTTCGTTCTCAAATAGTGTAAAAATATGGTATATCAAGGTTGTGGACCCTATAGAGGTCACAATTTTTATCCGATTTTGTTGAAACTTGAAATGTAAGTTTTTAAACCAAAGATCTCGGTTCCTTTCGATATTCGCGCATATCGTACTGTAACTTCCTGAATTATGGCCCCTGATTGTACGAAAAATCGCGTTTTTAGCTTGTGGACTCTATAGAGGTCATAATTTTAATCCGATTTTAAAAAACGTATTATTATATCACCGCTACACCCTAAGGACAGCTGAGGTCGAATTTCGTGTCAATCGGCTCAAAATTGACAGACAAAATGGCCGCCATTCGTTCTCAAATAGTGTAAAAATATTGTATATCGAGGTTGTGGACCCTATAGAGGTCACAATTTTTATCCGATTTTGTTGAAACTCGAAATGTAAGTTTATAACCCAAAGATCTTGGTTCCTTTCGATATTCGCTCATATCGGACCGCAACTTCCTGAATTATGGCCCTTGATTGTAGGAAAAATCACTTTCTTGTTAGCTTGTTCTCTATCCATCTCTCGAAAATGTGGGCGTATCCTGCCTGGCAGCCGCTGGTTAATCTAATAATCCGATGTAATTCAATTGTACGTCTGTTGGTAGTAGAAGTATGAAGCTCAGGGTCTGTGCCAAGTTCTTTGATAATTTGGTAGTCGAGGTTTCGACTAGAATGTCTCTGTAAATTGACGTGAGAGGCGACTGGGGTGTCTCTCCTGTGGGTGATATAAGCGTAGTATTCCATCAGCCTAATGCGGAATAGTCTCTTGGTTTCGCCTGTGTATTGCTTAAGACAAAGATTGCACGTAAGAAGGTATTACATTCTTGCTGTGGCAGGTCCAGTTGTTGGGACATTTATACATTTTGCCGGTTTGGGTGGAACGGAACGTAGTCTTTGGTTTAAGTGTGTTACAGTATTGACAATTGTCTAATTTGCATATAGTGTCTAGGTATGCATAACTTTTTCGACTGACTTGAGGTTTTAGTGTGTGGTTTTTAATGGTGACTGAGGTTAATAGATCTTTTAGGGAGGGGTTCCGTCTAAAAGCTGTAAGGCAGGGAAGGGGGAAAGCCCTAAGGCAGTCCTGGGAGCTAAAGAGAATGTGCCAGTTGTCCTTAATAAGTTTGCTGATATATACCAAATTGGGTTGGAATCCGTAATAAATACCGGGTGGGTGGCCTCGACGGTGGTTTTAGGAGTGAGGAGATGAATCCTCTCAATGGAATCGGCTTTAATTCTGTTGGATTTAATAATATCTCTTGGGTAGCCCCGTTGGAGATAATAAAGTTCCAGTTTGTCTGCATGTTTAATATAATCTGTGTTGCTTGTGCAGATACGTTTGATTCTAAGGAATTGGCTGTAAGGTCCCTTACGTTTGATGTGTGGCGGGTGGCATAATGTATAGGAAAGGTAAGAGTGTGTGTCTGTGGGTTTACAGTAAAGGTCAAATGAGAGTGTTTTGGTTGCAGGGTTAAAGCTAACCATAGTATCTAGAAATGCCACTTGGGAAGTGGAGTATTCAGCTATGAACTTAATGGTTTTATGGAAGGTGTTCATAAGTTGGAGGAAGTCTAAAAGTTTAGGCTTACCATGTGTCCAGATAAGAAAGATATCATCTATATACCGGACAAAGACTTTGGGTTTGAAAGGTACTTTGTCTAACATAATTTGTTCTAATTCGCTAAGGAACACACAAGCAAAGCTGGGGGCTACTTTAGTCCCCATGCTAGTACCGCCTATCTGGAGGTAATGTTGATGATTAAAAACGAAATTGTTTTTTGTAAGTACAAGTTTTAAAAGTGCGATAAGGTATGTGGCGTGGATTCTCCAATTAGGTTTATTTGTAAGGATACTTTTAGCTCGTAAGCCTTCGTTAGTAGGAATGTTAGTGTAAAGGGAAGTGACATCCATTGTGACACGAAGGACATCGGTTTCTCGGGTGAGGTCGGTGTCTTCCAATTTTTGAATAAAATGTGTGGTGTCTCTGATGTAGCTAGGGTATAAGGGGACGAAATGTTTTATATGTTCATCTATGAAACTACTAATGAATTCCGTAGGGGTTCCTTTCCCGCTAACAAGGCAGAGTTGGAGAGTTGTCTATTGGCTTGAAGGATATAATCGGATTTGTGGAGGATTACAACAGCTGAGCCCTTGTCGGCTTTTTTGATGATAATATCAGGGTTTGTTTTAAGTTGGTCAATTGCCTCTCATTCTTTTTTTTAGAGAGGTTGTTCCTTTTAAATTTGATAGTCTCTGTGTTGAGTAATTGATGTTTGATAACTCTAAAGATTAGCACCTGGGTTGGGTGTCCAGGTGCTCAGTGGTGCGAATCCTTGGTCCAATTTGGAGTGAAAGGAAGGGGGTGTGACTTATGACGGGCGGATGCGGTCACAATGGGCCATTTATATGACTTACTAATTCCATTTATATGACTTACTAATTCCATTTATAAAGCTTTATAATTAATTACTTACTTAGGCACGTGTGGACGCTGAAACCCATCGAAATGGGTGACTGAATTGAATATTATTTTCATAGTTTGATAAATAATTATGAAACTACGTAATTATTTATCAAGTCTTATAAATCCATTTATATAACTTAGAAAATAATCGGCAATCTCCGTACTTCTTCGTTGAGTCGGCCAATTGGCCAATCAAATCCCTCGTTAAATATAGCGGTGTTTTACCTTTCATGGCGGCTATTGTAAACATAAAATGACGAGAATAAGTTTTATGCATGTTTTAGTTATCCTAGCGTCAATTTACTTTGCTAAGGTCACCGCTCCCCCTCCACCCACCGACCGGGGTAGTTCTTTTCACAATTTCTTGCGAGTTTGCCGAAATATCGTGTCAGATGTTGTGCGGCACGCGTGGGCCCAAGCCCTTGAAGACAACATACCCTCATCCTGACCATGGTCATCTTCTGCAGGAAGATTAGTGCGTTCGAATTCCATTAAAGGAAAAAATGTACGAATAAAATGATGTAGGCCCTATGACACCGACGCACACAACTCGAAAACCGCGGACGGGAGTGGGAGGGGCTTGCCATTCAGTAAGACGACCTGTGATTGGCTGGCCGAAGCATCCTCGGGAATTTCCGGGCAGATGTACGAACTTTCCCGAATATTTAGTTCGTTAGATAATTCATTTATAAGACTTAGAAAATAGATTTATATAGCTACCATATTATTTAAAAGATAAATCATTTATCAAGCTATGAAAATAATATTCAATTCAGTCACACGCTTCGAGGGGTTTCAGCGTTCGCACGTGCCTAAGTAAGTAATTAATTATAAAGCTTTATAAATGGA